GTGTGCTTTGACGTCATGTGTGCTCCTTTCAGTTGCCATAGCAGCCCCATTCCCCAAGCTCTCTGCCTGTCTCCTCTGGTAGGTTCCACAATGGTACAGCCAGCATCACGCTGCACAATGGTTTCCAGGCAGTGAAAGAGCGTGATTCAGCAAGCCACTCTTCCCCCCCCCTCCCCTTTTATTTCATTATTATCAGACATTTTGCCTCCCCTTTTTCTGTTCTCTTCTACCCTCTTCCCCAGGCTTTTATTCAGTTCTTTAAAGGAATACGGTGATTTACCTTGAAACCAACTGCCCATTTTTTTTTTTCCCCTTCTTTTTTTTTCCTTTTTTTCCCCCCCCCCATTATTATAAATAGCCTATTTTTTTTCCTCGGCACTGTTTGGAATGTGATTTTAAAATACCACCTAAAGTCGCAGTTTGGGGAAAAGGTTTCTGGACGAAGAGAATAGCTGGCGAGCAAGGAATGGTAGGTGGCTGATGCTAATATTCTTTGACTAACTGCTTTCGCAGGGTGGGGTGATGAATATTGATTGCTGCTTGAGAAGGAAAAAAAAAAATATTAAAGCAGGGGAGAGGGGGAGAGAGAGGTTAATGAAGTAAACTGCTAAGCGAAGCAAGAAGGCTGCACCTGTCCATTTTGTGGCCGGAGGAGCATCATTTTCCTGTCTGTGTGCGGGTGGGTACGAGCGGTAATGTTGGGGCGCTGTGGGTGACCAGCGGCCGTGTGAGCAGGGCAGGGGCACGCCGGGCATGACACTGTGGTGCTGCTGCTTTACCAGCTGGCTCCTGTAAACACCGGGGCTTTACTCAGCCTCATCGCCTCTAACGCTGCCTGCGGGCTTTGGGGGGAAGGAGGTGCCTTGGCTTGCACTTCAGGAGAAAGATGAGGGTGCTGTGAGGGGTATATGGTAGTCCATCCGTACACAGCTGGGAAAAATTTGAATGTGGAAAAATAAAGAGAGGACAAGGAGCTGGAAGATTCAAAGGACAGAAGTCCTAGCCTTTTGCAGAGCGACTGAATGCAAAAAAAAAAAAAAAAAAGTGTGTATGTGGAAGTGTTTGACGGACCTTGTTGGATGTGGGGGTGGGGGTTGTTTTTAAGAAAGTAGCCTTTAATCATCACTCTTCCACATTACTTGGATTCAAGTGAGCAACTCAGCCCACTGGGTTTAACAGAACCACAAGAGGTTTCAGGAGAAGTGTTTACAGCAAGCTATGGGCCAGTTATTTTGCAAAAGAGAATTAACAATCTGTAGATGCTGCAGTGAAATCAATGTTGCTTTGCAGAGAGATCCTCTGGCAGAAAAAGCTACTGCTATAGGAAGAAATGTTGGTTTTGTTTTTTACAGCAGAGTGACATTATTAGAAATAATAGAAATTTGCCTTGGATAATTAAGTGTTACAGCATTGTTTAATAAGCAGGCTGTGCTCCCAGTGAACCATGATGGGCATGTTTCACACCATTCGTGTGCTGGGGGATTGTCAGCTTGTTTACATGGGCTCCTTTTGCTGCATAGCTTCCTGATATCCTCAGTGCAACTTTCCCCTCCTCTGATATGTTCACTGTAAGTTTTACCAGAGACTTCTACAGGGAAAAACCGACACTATGTGGAAATACAAATTTTGAGGGAAATTATGGCATGGAGTAGAAATGTATTGGGAGGAAAATGCAAATAAGTATATTGTAACTCATCAGAGGAGTCTGAAATCAGCTTGGTGGAGGACACAAAGGTTGTCCTGCAAGCCTGGCTTTAGGAAAAGAGAAGGGTTAAGACAGAACAGGCTGCTGCAGGTATGGCACGGGGCTGTTTGTCTTTGCCCATGTGTAACCTATCTTCGGTCCCAATGCCTTGGGGAAAATGGGGTGCACCAAACCCCCACTGTTTTAACCTTCTTTCAGTACAATGCTGTGTAATCACTGGTCAGGAGCACTGGAGCAATATTTTCTTCTATGGTCCTCTGGCTGTCTGCTCTCTTCCTGCTAGGAATGGTGGCATAGGAATACCCTTTCAGTTGGCTCAGCTAATGACTTTGTCTTACAGGGATGCGGATGTGAACGACAAAGGTGATTTGACCTCAGCCATTAAACAATATTCTTTTTCCCTGACTCTCAATAAACTGCACTCTTGCTCATAGCTCTCTCCTGCTGTTTCAGAGTATGCATAATTTTTCGGGCTCCTGTTGTAATTATGGTTTTGTTGAGGAGGGTTAAGATTACAAGGATGTTCCTAAATAGGATAAGGACAGAAATCGCTTACCATGAAAAATAAGTTAACTTAGCTGCTTGTCTGCCTCCTTGGAAAATGTCCTTCTCATTGTTAAAAAGCTCCTTCGGTGCACACACATGAGCAGATGACAGGGATGAGTGTTTTCTTGTAGGTTTGGGGTTTTTTTCCCTGCTGTCAGTGGCTGGCATGTTTGCAGCTGTTTTTTAGTGATTTAACATTACTGGATCAATACACCTTCAAATAGTGTTACAGTACCAAATCTGGCTTGGGAAAGCAAAGAGCAAGTTATCAAAATTTCACTGCCATGGTATTGGAGAAGGTCATAAAGTTCATTGTAGTTTACAGTTCATTGCAAAATTCATCCAATTTAAGGGAGGCCTAAAGCAGGCCCGAAGGAGGGTGATTTTAGCATTGCTTTTGCAGACAGCATCATAATTTTCTTAAGACTTGGAAGAGAGAAAAGCTGCATTTAGGGAAAGGCCTCCGGTTTTAAAATTGGCAATCTCTTAAACTGTTGTTCAGTAGATACTACCCAGTTCCTTGAACAATTCCAAATTACAGAAAATATCACCGGCTTGTTGATAAATTTTTAAATCCTAGTAAATTTTTGGGGGTTTTGTCATTTTTGGGGTTTTTGTCACAAGCATTCTACACTCATAGCCCCTCCCATTCCAGTGATTACATTTTGAGCTTACAATAATAGCAGTACTAGAAATTATGTCCTGAAAGCCTAGTGATTGCAGAATCACCATACTTGCTGCTCTGTTATGTCATCAGGAGTAAAGGAGAGAGTCTTCACTGGGCTACAATACTGAATATGTATATATTATATATAATATATATACGGAGATATATATACACTAATATATGTACTATATTAAATATAATATATATATACTGAATATATAACATATATATATTCAGTGTATGTGTGTGTGTGCTCCTTTTCTATGATTCTTGCACACTTACTGTTTTGAAGGCTACTTGCAAGGAAAATGAACCTTCATGAAAGGACCACCAGTGATTAAAGTAGAAATCAAAAGCAGTAGAGGGGATGGAATGGAATTTCCTGGTCCCCTCTCCACTGTTTATGAAAGTTACACAGCTCTTCTTGAGCTGCTCTACTGTGTTTTAGCCTGATAGCTGTAGCTTTGTTGGCAAGCTTTAGAATCAGTCTTGGCCAGTTGCTAAAATAGGAAGGCAGGGAATTCAGATCCCAAAATATTCCATTCTTACTGGTTTTTTCCACAGTGAGATTTTTGGTAGAAGTTTCGGTGTGTGAACTCACTAGTGGTGGTGGTACGTTCTCAGTTTCATTTCTACACAAAGGATGTGAATTCATGAGCTTTAGTGTACCTTAGGATCTTCCTGACTGTGCCTGGAGCACAGGGCAGTGGTTTTTTACAGCAAGAAAAAGGAAAAGCAACTGTTGTGTTTTCAGGCAGGTTCTGGGCTTTTCTCCCATCTAAGAACAAGACCATGTTGATGACCCTGTGAATGCAGCCTCTTGTTCACATCACAGCAGTTACATGGGAAATTTGGGATGTGTTAGGACCTGATCTAACACAAATCTTTGACTGTGTTGGACTCTCTCGGTACTTTTGTGAGGTAATAATCACTAAAAGTTGGAGGTCCAGAAGAGACTTCCAGTCAAGTCAATAGCTGCTTCACCAGGATTCTACGCTAAGAGGTCAATAGCCCAGCAAATTAGGAACTGTAATTTGAGAGTGGGATTTCAGGAGCCTGAGTTGGGCTCTTTTTTGTTATGTAGTTGTTTTCTCATGAGGATTTTTCATTTGCTGTTCTTAGTACAAAGTTTTAGTTCTCAGATACTTGAAAGCGTTTTAGGATACAGGTCAAACCTTATACTTAATCATAATCACTTTGTTTTGTTCAGTGGTTAGGTACCAGACCACCATGTTTGGTTGTTATTTCTCTTATTCACGATCTTAATACCACAGCATTTGCTTTTTCCTACAGTTCTTGAGGTTGTCTTTACCTTTCTTGGCTGCGTGTGCTTTTCAGTTGAACTTTTTTGTCCCATGCTTTGTTATTTGTTTTTAAGAGGGTGATTATTGGATAAACAGCATTAATTCACAGGCCTTTCCTGATGCCCATATGTATCCATATCACACAGTTTTTAAAGCTGTTAATAATGTCACAAGTCAAATTTAATTTCCATCCCCAGGTATTGGTGGCAGGTGACTGTGTCCATATCTCAGCTTGTCATAGGTGAAGTTTCTGCTTTTCCTCATTCCAAAGAAAAAATTGATGATCTGGCCTTAGAAAGATAGATAGTATAGAAACAAAAATAATTATTTTAGGTCAGTTTTATGTTGGTTTTTTTTTTTTTTTTTAGTACCATCTGTTTCAATTTGAACAGTCTTGAACATGTGCTCTTGAGCACTAAGGCCTTGATTTTTTTTTTTCCCCTTTCTTTTTTACTGGTGGGAGAATAACTGTGACACACTTCTCCCATTTGAACAGCACTTCATTCTGCATTATTTTCTGTCTCCTGCCTTTCTTCTTTGTGTGTAAGAAAGGAAATTCATGGTACAAATACTGCCTGAATGGGATGCATTATGGTATTATCAGAGGAAAATCTAAATTCTTTGTTATATAATGTGCAGATAATGATATTCCAGGTTAGTTTAGTTTTCTGAAATTTTCTGTGTTAATTAGAATTGAAAAATAAACCCCAAATATTTCTTTCTCTTTTTTTGTGCTTAGGGCTAGTATTAGAAACCTGTACCAACAGCAGGCCAGACTCAAATATCAGCTATGGCAACCAATGCATGAAGTTGATGCCTTTGAACTATTTCCTATAGATGAGACATAGCACATGCTGTGGTGAGTCAACAATGTATTATCTTATTAAATCATACTTCTTGGCAAAAAAAAAAAAAAGCCAAAAGATGCTTAATGCCGAAGTGCATGCTGATTTTTTTTTCCTTTTTTATTTTTTTCTTTTTTGAGGGGGGAAGCAGGGAAAATTAAAGTTACAACTTGTAGTAATTTTTAGTACACATTAACATAATGCTGTCATCTTATAATGAGTTTTCCAAGTGTATAATTTCTGCATTGCACAGTTATCAGATGGAGCACATTCAGAATGTGGTTTCAGAGGAAGTGTTAATATAGCAAAATAATTTAAAAAAAGACCCTACACATGCAGTGTTCTGAGCACTATTTAAAATGGCAAAATCTGTTTCACTATCACAAAATCCACAATTTTGGACTGATTTCTGTAACTAATGTTTTCCATCTCTTAGATTTGGTGTGGGGGGAGAGGAAAGGTTGTTTTGTTTCTCTTTGAGATGACTGAAGAAGTCTGGGGAGAGTCATCACAGACTTTTTTTGTCATATATGTCTTTATTCTTGGACAGGAAAATAGTGAGAACAATGATGAATATCAAATAGTCTTTTAAAAAATACTTTGTAGCTTTAACTGTCTTAAGTCTGCTATTAATTTCAATCCATATGTCATACATAATAAGTCATTGTGGTTCTGATAGTTTCTTTAGGATGGTTTTGGTGTACCTTTGGGAGATGAGGAATTGTTTTCAGATTTCTCATGTAATCTCAATAGAATTGTCAAAAACTGCAAGTGTTACTCCAGTAAGGTGTAGCTCCAAGACACTGAAATGTTTCTGTAGGGAGATAGAACTCTTGTAGATGTGGCATGTAGGGTGATCAAATGACCCATCAAGGGTGATGAAATGAATGCTCTGGTGACACTTTCAGCCGTGATGAAGCTGATGAAAAAGATTTAAACAGGTGTCAGTTGAATGTATTTGACTGCTTTGAAGTGAGATGAGTTGCAGAAAGCAGTGCCTATAGAGCACCACTGACAGAATTTGTGTTCTGTTGGAATCTAGAGGGTTTCCCAAGGGGAGAAGACATACCCTGGACATGGACAGTGATTTGTGGCATAAGGAGTCACAGTCTGGATGCTCACATCCTTGACTTGTGGACATCCAATGGAAGCAGTACATTTATGTAGAACATAATAACCTCTCTTTTTTACTACTATGATATTTTTAACTTATGGCTTTTAGGGCCCATTGTCCTAAGGTAATTCTGGTTAACAAGACAGCCTTCATCTTGGCTTAATGTCTGTGCTTTAGAAACTGTGACACTGAGCCTTTTGCATAAGAATGGGTCTGGGTGCCTTTTGCATTTACAATGAACCCTGAAACCGTATTTTTTACAAAAATTAATATTATTTTGCTTTAATTCTGTGTTTAGGAGCCTACAGATAATCTGCTAGTTGTAGATAATGAGAACTTTAAATAAGCTGGCAACAGCAAAGTATGTATGATTTCTGGTAGTTGATGGAGTGGTGCAAATAATGGATTTTGTTAACATGTCCATGATGAATGGTTGCAAAACAGACGTTGCATGACATTTTTATGGTGTTTTGTACATGTTAATGCAATTAGCTGATAGTCATGGCAGCTCAGTTCCTCTCACCATTAACATTATTAAATTGCTGTGTAAGTAGAAAAATTGTTCTTAAGAAGCTGGCTGATGCTAATCCCCACTCCTGGTGATTTTGCATTTGGTAGTATACGTAGTGCTAATTTTGGAACACAGTATATGTAGTGCTAATTTTGGAACTGCTGTCTACAAGCAGTTTGACTTGATCATTTGTCCCCCAGGTCACCAAGATGTCTTTATCTTAATGTTGCAGCTATTGATATTTGCTGTTTGATATTTCAAGCATTTACCAGTGTCTCTGTCCAGGTTATTTTCTGAGTTCAGTGCACATCTAAGTCACCTCCCCCAGCTCTGTTCTTCTCAATTTAGATTTTAGGGTGGGTAATCAGTGCAAATACCGGGTTTTCAGAAGCAGCATATGAAATGTGTCAAAAGAACTCAGAGATGTCATAGGGAGAGAGTTGCTTGAGAAGTTTCCTCCCAGATGACACAGCATTAATAGGCAAAATTAGTTAAATATGCTTAACAGAAATTAAAGACTGTAAAATCTTGTTGTGAGGCTACAAAAAACATCTGTAGGTGTCTCCAGGCATTTGATGGATTTAAAGCTCTGTCTGTATAGGAACTAGGCATGCACTTCTGTAAATGTGTGTAACAAGTGCAAATGAAATCTGGGGCTTATGCTCTCTGTGCAGGTTCTCTCCAGTTAATATTGCTCATTAAGACAGCTTGATCATATAGTTTTATTTTGCATTCAGCAATATCTGTTGGTGAAAACACAAGCTTTGCAACTGTAGAAATTGTATGTGAAATCAGAAACCACATACAAAAATTAGCATATAATTAGTGAAGTTGAATTAACTGCCAGAGTCTTTTAAAAAAGGTCAGGAAAAGAAGGATTTGGAGAACAAAAGTACCTATCAATATTCATCACAGAAAAGATCAAGCAAGGAAAAACTTGGGATGTTCTGTTTACCAAAAAACTGATGTTAGTGCCGTGGGCAATGGGTGTTTTTTACAGCTGAGTTAGTAATTTTATAAGAAACCACGTGAGAGAAAGGTTTTGCTACATCCATGCAGAGAAGCAAAGTACCTGGGATAAAGGAATTTGAGGAGTTTTTTAAGTGCTTGAAAAAAACATTTGAGGATCTATTTTGTAGTGTCTTGGCTTGGTATCTTGCTACTACAGTCACATGATTTTTTGGAATATTGTGTTGGTTCCTCTAATGTTCCTCACAGGTGTTAAGTGCATGAGAAAAAATCAGAGGAACTCAGAGCACAGTTTTCTCTGAGAAACTTGTGTTCTGCTCCTCTGCCTAATAGAAAAACCATGTTTATATTAAATTTGCTGCATATGATAAATGTCAAAACTTACTACCTGTTACTGATGATGGCCATGTAATGTGCAACACATTTCCCCTTGGAGGACTCTTGCCTGAGCCTATTTCCAAAAGCTATTTGTCATGTGATCAGCTACATGCAAACAAAGGTTTTCCAGAAGTGAGCTCTAACACACAACACTTCAGCTACTCACCTTCTCTAGTTTTCAAGGGGACTGAATTTTTTCCAGAAAGTGCTGGGATCTTCACTTTGGCTTATAGACTTCACTTTGGATTATAGAACTACTTGATCACCTTTTATTTCAATAAAGCTCGCTGGAGATGCTCATAAAGGGAATTTTCCTGCCTTTGCTTTTTTTTGTTGTTGTTGTTGATTCTCTTTTTTTCCTTTATATGGATTTTCTTTTTTGTGTCCTCAGGATATTGTTTTGCAGAGTATTTTCACTGCCCTTTAAACTCAGATAATGTTATGTGGGTTTATACTAGTAGCTCTTATTCTGATTCATATCCCTTCTCCCTCCATCCTTGGTTTGTCTTTAGTTATTCCTACTGCCCCTAGGATTAGTATTTTAATTAAATTACATTGAAATATAGCATTGTCAACTCATGCAGTATTTGGGGTTTTTTAATGCCCTGGGCTAAGTATCACATACATGTGAGAAACTATGAGCTTTCCTTTAGCAAAATGTAGGCTTTTTGTTTATATTACTGAAAAAAATTGAAGCTTGAGTATGTGAAAGAGTGAGGCTTCAGAAATGTACAGCCCTCCCACCAAGATTATTCCCTAGTGGCATATTGGAATTTTGAGATCATATAACATGAGTCTTAGATGTTTGGGACAGATAGTCTTAAAAAAATATTTTTTATTTATTTGGAAAGTGAATATTTGCTGCATTTCTAATGCTTGTAAAGACACAGACATACCATATGTTGTACCTATGTACAAGTAGTTGAACTGGCCCAGCAAAGGTCAAGCTATTTGCACATTTAAAAAGTGAAAATAAAATTTATCAAAAAAATTCAAGTACAAATTTAGTCTGTGTTTGAAGGATCTCTAGTTTAGTTTTGCTCTGGAATACTGCTGGACCAAATGCTTTTATTCTGCCACATGTCAGTCTCAGCTTACTGAAAAGGAGCGAGCTTAATTTATGAGCTTAATGCTTTCCTGTGTCTGGCGTGACCTGTGAATATATCCCATGAAATATTTGTGTCTGCTGTATTTTTTGAGTTCCTGGTGGAAAAAATAGCTCTGAACCACCTGCCAGGCTAGTTCAGTATTTGGCAGGCTCCTCTTCCAGCCTTATGGAGAATATCCAGGACTATTGCTGTGGAATATGGGAGTAGAATGTCAGACAAATGTCTTCTGAACCTTTGAGTAGTTTTCCAGCGTGATTCTTATGAGCTGTGTTAAAATAATTTTAATAGCCTGCAGAAGAATAAATGGAAATGCCAAATCAATAGCAAAAAACACCCGGAATGCTGCCAGCAGAAAGGTGGAAAAGAGACCAAGACAGCAGTAAATTCAGCTCTGCTAATGGGCAAGGCATGCAAACCCATATTTTATAAAGTGGTGGGAAGTATTTCGTGACCACAGGGCGAAAGGTTTTGCCTGCTTCCTCTTCAAGGCTTGTCAGTGTGCTGTGTCTCTGTGCCTATTGCTTTGTGGCCTGTCCTTATCAAAAGTGCCTTTCCTTCTCACAGCTTGTCAACAGGAGCAGAAGCCTGAATATACCATGTAGTACTGCCAGCTTTTCCTCTGCTCCTGTGTGTGCTGGAAGGATTGAGGAGCCCTGGCTATGGGTGAAGGGTGTTGCTCTTGTAGGGAGGAGCACCCACAGTGCCGGCAGCGTCAGCTGCTGCATCCCTGCTCCCTGCACAAGGATTTAGGTGGAGTTGGCTCAAGGCTGCAGTGTGCCAACTGCTGTACAGGCATGAGGTTAGCAGCTTTAAGCTCTTAGGCAGTCATTTCCCAGCTCTAAAAGGGAGTAAAAGAAGCCATAGGTGTGTAGGGGGTTATCAGTGCAATGCAGCAAGTACAACATTATTGTCATGTTCCTTCTCTCTTAACTA